GGTGAAGAGTCAGAGCAGTGGAAAGAAAGACATCGAATTCTTGCTTTGCAGATGGAAAGGCAGCAGAGGGAGATGGCCCAAAGAGTGGTATCCACAATGACACAGAGCCACTGTGGGCTGGGAGCATTCAAATTGTCAACAACCTTGTAGAAAAGGCAGACAAATTCCTGTTTTGTACTTGGGAAGAAGCCAGGTGATGTAATCATCTTAGAGGAGGATGGTGAAATACTTTCCATTCCAGCAGTAACTCAAGATGTTAAATAGCAGCTACTAAAGTTAAACATTGTTAAATCAGTATGTCAGGACAGCATCTACCTACGAGTTTATGAAGAGTTGGCTGAGGAACCGGCGGACAGTTAATGCTCACTTTCCATATGCCATGAAATAGTGCAATGTTTAAGAGATGTAGGAAAAAGCTATTTGTTAAACGAGGCAGTTTGGCCTATTTTAGGACTGCCACTGCAACATGGGTACCAGTCAAATAATGATGTGCCAGAGATGGGATTCGGTCAGTGAAGGATTAAGGGAACGCAGTAACAGCGGTGCCAATCTATGTGTATTTATGGAAAACAGATTAAGGCAAATTAGCCTCACATGGTTTTTGATGCAATTACAAGATCGGCTGGGAGAGGTAACAGCGTTAATGCAATGCACCCAAACTTCTGAAAAGCATTTCCCTTGGGAACGCATGATATTTTGATTCAGAAATTAGAGGGTCCGCAGACACTGTGGCACATATTCAACGCATTAAAACTTGGCTGGCTGATGCTGCTATGGTCTGAGATCTAAGCAGGGAATGCACGGAGAGCAGGTCTGTTTCTATACGAGCCAACAGGTTTGATTCACGGCTCTGGGCTGTTTAACATTTTTATCAGTGACCCAGGAGAGAGCCCAAAGTGTTCCTAATAAAGTTGACTGATGACATGGATGTCGTCGTATGGTACACAGTGAAGATGGTGGTCACTGACACCCAGCAATCTGGATGGGTACAAGCAAGCCATGTGCATTTCAATACAAACACATGTCAGATCATGCCTCCTGGGAAAAGGATGCAGGCCACAGTGGTTTTCTGCTCATAGTCCTGCTGCAAAGGACGAGGTCCTGCCCCAGCAAACAGCTGTGCAAAAGAATACAGCCAAAAACCATCGCCGAAATGGTTAACGTGAAGATGGTACGGAGAAATGTCATGGAGCAAGGTAGCACCCCCTGCAGCACTCAACTGCACTGATCCATGCGATGGAGGCTCTGCCAACTGGAAGGCTGTGGAGAGCCAAAAAGCTCTCAGCACAAAGAGGGCAGGGGGTCAGGGATTACCCTTAAACAACCACAGGTACGGGAACAGAGGCCCTGCTGGACACATTTCACTGAGGTCCAAGTGCCAGGCAGCAGGAGGCAGGTAAGGAGGCAGGAAGACTGCTGGAAGCATTTAAGGTAACTCTCCTCTGGAAACACTTATATCACAAATGGCTGTATCTGCTCTAGCTCAACCAGGAATGCTTCCTGTAAGAACTTAATTAACCCTAGGGCCTTACCATTTATTGGCTGGGTCCTGCATTATCTGTGGAGGCCCAGAACCAAAGCAGGCATGGAGCCACAAATAGCTGCTTATCTTCAAAACATCGTGTCTATATGGGATGTGACCTTAACACAGAGGGAACACATCCTTCACAGAGCCCACATGAAGGTCCCATACCTACAAGAACCAATCCAGACTATCTTCTGCAGCCTCTGACAGGGAAGGCTGCTCCGTGCACCAGCTCCAGCAGTAATGCAGCTATGCCTCTGCCTTTAGAGCTGGGCTGAGGCTCAGTCAGTGCTGGGTTAGTGGAGATGGGCTGTGGGGTTGATGGAGATGGACAGACCGGGTGAGGACACCAACATCCTCCATCCCAGCTCTCCACGCCAGGGAAGGAGCAGGAGTAAAGCACCTTGCTATTGCTCTAGCTCAGAAACAACTGTGACCCTAAGAGACAATGCTACGGGTCTCTTACACCACCACCTTCTTCAGGATAGAACCATCAGCGAGACCAAGGCTCCCCGTGCTCAATATTATAGGAACACAGTAAAGAAGAGGCTGCCCACTGCACCAGAAGTCCACTGGAGCTGGAAGAGAAGCTGGAGAAGGAAGCAGAGCTCAGCAGCCAGCAGCTGCCATCCCCGAGCAGGCAAAGGCAGTGCTCGACTGCAGTCCAGCTAAAGAGAGAGAGCAAGGAGCACAATGGCTCTGCCTCCTCTGTTGCGGAGCAGAGCCAATGAATAAGGGAGGCAGAGACAGAAATGCGCTTAATATGCTGCTTGGGAGGGACGGGCGGGGGAGAAGGGGGAAAGCAGCCAGACAAAGAACAGGGGGATGGAGAAAAAAAGATGCAGGCAGAAAGCAGGAGAAGGTGAAGCACGGGAGCAGGACGGGGCTGGGCAGCGCGGGGCCCCCGGCTGCGCAGCGGGAAGGAGCGGGGCAGGCAGTGTGCGGCCGAGGGGCGATGCGAAGTGCAGAGCCCTGCGGGATTGGCGAGCAGGGCCCAGCAAAATGAAAATCTCTTAACCACACAGAATTGTTAACTGCCCCCAAATCCTTTTGTGCTGGGGCTGCAAGCTTAAAGGAGCTTAAGCTGTTAGATGCATGAACTTCCTCCATAAATATCCCTTGTGTGCAGTGCCGTGAGCAGGCTCGCGTTGTATTAGCCAGATGAAAAGCCCAGCAGAGAAAATGAGCAACTCCTTCCAGTGCTTGCAGCCGCACTGAGGGGCCGGGCTGACCGTCGCTTGGGGTGCATCGAGGCCCATTGGCAGGGCAGCACCCGTGGGCCATCCTTGCCACGTCCCGTTCAGGCTACTGAGTCGTGCGAGAGCACTTCACTCCAAGAGCCAGTTTGGATTTGCTTTTGTTTTGCTTCTGGAAAAGGGCCCAGATTTCCTCCCACCCTTCAAAACACAAAAAAAACCTGCCGGCCATATGTACGAGCAAGTCCCCCAAGCCAGGAGGCTCACACGCTGCCCATGCAGCAGGGACTGGTACCGGGCAGGGGTGCAACAGCAGCGGGGCAGCCATGCAGGCCTGCACCCACAGGTCCCTCCCCAGGGTGCTTTTAACCCAGTCGGAGAGATGAAGCCCCTTCCCATCCCCTCTGAGAGCAGAGAGGATGTGCCATCTCTGCCTGGTGGCTCCCCACGTGTCCCATAGGAACCGGAGGAATCCTTCCACTGCTGCAGAGCCCTGGGCCCATCCAGCCCCACAGCCAGAGCTGCCCCACGGAGACGGCGCGCTGCCGGCCACGGCGTGATTGATGACAGTGGGGAGCGTGGGGCTGCATGCGCGCCAGCACCGGCTGCAGAAACAGCTGCTGAGGTACTGGACCTCCCAAAATCCTGCTGCTGCACAAAGAGGAGAGACAGCCCTTCTGCTCTCTCCCTCCACCTCGGCCCCTTTCCTTTCTGGCTGACAAAAATGGGTTCTGCAACGGGCACTCGAAGGGACCGACCCTTGGCTGGGCTGGCACTGGGTCTGGGGAAGTGATGCAAGTCATGAAACTGAAGCTGTATCAGAGCAAAGCATTGTGCAGGGCTGGAGTGAAAAAAAAAAACACCTTGAGATGGAAAAGCTGACATGAAGTATTTTGGCTTCCTTGTGTTGCTACGAATGCTCCACTTGGGCTTAGTAAAACATCCATCTGGGATTAGCCAGGCTCCCTTTGCATGCTGTGCTGCAGCAGGACTCTCAGCAGCCCCAGCCCTGCTGCAGCTGAAGGACTCTTGGTCATCACTCATGGGGAGAGAAGAGCCACATGGTGTCCCAGCAAGCAGCAGCTTCAAGCAAGGATATCAAACATCCTCACACACAGCAGGACCTGCAGGTGGATGCCCCTCCAAGTGAGCAGTCCAAGGAGAAGCCATGTAGTAAAGGGAAGATCTCCACAGAAGGCTTCACTTCTGTTCCTTTGGCCTCAACATGTAATTCCTACATCACTTTCAAATTTTGACATTTCTTCTCATCCTCCTCAGACTCCCTTTTAGTCCTCCCCCACTTCTTGCCCCTGTGAAAGACTCTGATCCAGCTTCTCCTGCTATGGGCCCAGGGCATTCCTCAGCACCAAGGCACCCCACTGAACCAACGGGGTTCAAGGAGAGTTGCTCCTGGTCCTGCAGGAGAACCCCAGGTCAACCTTTGCCTGCTCAAAAATGGATACTGGGTTGTTGTGATTGCACGGCTCTGCTGCTGCTGGTGGTGTGATGGCAGAGGAACCAGCACGGCCATTCAGCCTGCAGACCCAACCAAGTGTGGCCAGACATTCCCCTCTCTGGAATGTCCACTTCCACCACCAGCACCTTCCCCATACTAGTTGGTGCTGCCCAGCCACCCCTTCCTGCAATAAGCAGAGAGGAGAAGCAGCTCCTTCCATACACAGTTCTGCAGTGCCAACTGACGTATCTATAATTGATCTCAGAGAAATTCCAGCCCTGCTCAGTGTGTCGATGTTATCAAAACCATAATGGGATTTGATGCTCAAATGGGAGGAAGAATCAGTTTGCCAAATGCTGCAGTTTGCTTTGCTCTTTTTGTCCCGTTCTGCAGCTCTTCCACTTCTTTCTCCCCAACCCCAGCACCTCTGAGCACATCCACCCAGCACACTACCAGATACATGCACACCCAGACAAGCATACCTGCTTAGGTGCAACCAAAGAGGAAACTCCCTCTCTTCTGGACTCTCTGCACTTTCTCTTGTTCCACAGTTCCAGCCCAGCCCCAGACTGCTGAGAGGTGGCTGCAGAGCAGAGGCACAGCTCAGTGGCTGAGTGCCCCTCTTGGGGAGCACAAAAGGCAGCAGCGACTGCGCAGCACCTCTGGGCTCTGCAGACCCAGAGCTAAGGCAGAGCCTCTCCAATGGAGAGAGGAACCCAAGCCCCTTGAGAGGTCCCTCCCAGCTTGCAGATCACAGCCTCAAAAGCACCAATGCAAGCACAGCAGCGAGATGAGCATGTGAGGAGCAAAGAGAAGGGGTTACCTCTGCAGACGGTCCCATTCTCCACCGACTCGTAGCCTGGCCTGCACATGCAGCGGCCGATGGGCACCAGCCACTCTCCATCCCCATTGCAGTACAGCTTGATTGGCACATCCACCTCCTCTGCATTGCTGATGCACGTCCCCCGAGCTGCCACCAGAGATGTGCTCTCCGCTCCCGAAAGGGTTTCCTGGAAGACCGCCCCGTTCTGGATCACACGGGGACACTTGCGGTAAAAGACACGGACTGCAATCAAGGACATGCAGCCCCCATAGTCCTGGAAGGCCAGGTAGAAACCATTTTTGGAGACAGGCCCAAAACTGCGCACCTCGGTGTTAATCTTCATCACCCGCCCACCAAGGTCCACCTGCGAGAAGCTCTCATCAGCAGCAATTGTATCTACCTTCATCCAAGGGTTTTCCATCCAGTTAGGAAAAGTCTTGGTGGCAGAGTCAAAGTCTGATTCGTAGTAATAGAGATTAAAAGTCTCCTTACAGGAACCCGGGACGTTGGGGATGCTGCTGCAGTCCCGAACGGAGAATTTCATCTCCACGTGGATGCGGTGCGCTCCTCGCCTCCGGATGTACTTGGTCCGCAGCCAGTTGTTTTGGCTGGATTCAAAGACGTTGCACACCTGGTAGGTGCGGATGGTGTTCATGTTCTCATCGTATCCACTCACCTCTTCCCACTGCAGACAGGACACAAACAGTCAGTCGAGCTGAACTGACATTCACAGGATTAAACACAGGGTCCCCACCTGCTCTGCCTCTTTCAGGCACCACGCAGGCACGCTGTCCCAGCAGAAGCTGTGCCGCATCGTACCACCACATCACCCCAACCCAGAGGGGTCTGACCCACGTGGCACCCCGGTGGCTTTATGGCAAAACCTCCCTGCATGTGGTCCGAGTGCGGCAGGGCACTGTGGGGCCATGCACTCCATCTGCAGCAGTAATGTCTTTAGCAGGGGCTCTCGCCCGTCAGCTACACTGTCCTGCAGAGGCCTCCTCATAGCTGCAGAGCCTCGTGGCTAAGTAACACGATGCCTTCAGCAGATGTATTCCCACCGGTGCCGCTACAGTTACAACTGTGGCAGACAGACCCCGCTTTATAACATGACTGTAAAACCTCCTTCCAGGCTGTAGCCTGAGCGCCACGCAAGGTGCAGGGTGCCAGTGGGACAGCAAAGCCCCTCTGCAGCTCTGGAGGAGTCTCCATAGAGCTCAAGGCAGCACCCACACCTGCACCTTCTGCACCTTCTGGCCCTGTTCAGCTCTGCCCTTTTGTCTAATCGCTCAGCTCTCATTGCTGTCTCCACCCTTTGTAGGGTGGGGAGACACTTCAGAGCAGGTCAGAGATGGGATATGCCCACTGGGATCCTTCAGGATGTCTGTGATTGAGGTCAATATGCTGCTGGATACCTTGGGAGGAGGAAGGTGAAGGTAAAGGAACAAGAAGATGCTCAGAGGGCAGGAGCACATCTCCTATGAAGAAAGGCTGAGGGAGCTGGGGGTGTTCAGCCTAGGGAAGAGAAAGCTCTGGGGAGACCTCATCATCACCTTCTAGTACTTAAAGCAAACATATAAACAGGAGGAAGATCAATTTTTTACACCGTCTGATAGCGACAGGACAAGGGGTTGTGGTTTAAACTAACAGAGAGGAGATTCAAGATAAATGTCAGGAGGAAATTCTCTACTCAGAGGGCAGGGAGGTCCTGGCACTGCTGCCTAGAGAAGTGTGGATGCTCTATGCCCATAGCCATGGATGGGCCCTGGGCAGCCTGGGCTGGTGGGGAGCAGCCAGCCCATGGCAGGGCCTGGAATTGGGTGGGCTTTAATGTCCTTTTCAACCCAACCATTCTGTGATTCTATGAACGCTGCATTCTGTCTTAGGTTTGTGTGATGCCAACTGTCAATGGAGCAAGAGGAGAACAAGCACATGAGATTCCCCTGCCCCAACACCCTTTGTGCCTCCCTCCACTCCAGCCTCCAGTGGGGAGAGAAGAGAGGAGGGCAGGTCTGGGGAAGCTTATGAAGGGAACCACAAAGCTATCCAGCCAGGTGGAACGGCTGTTCACGAGCTTGTTCGTAAACCTGCTCAAGTGGAAGCCAAGCAGCTTCCCATGGACATGAAGTCCAATGTGCAGAGCATAATCCTGCCCTGGATGCAGGACTTGTCCACAGTGCAGCCCTGCTGTCACCACATCCCTGCACTCAGGGATGCAAAGGGAGGCTCCCGAGATGAGAGACAGATTGCTCTTTGCACACCAAGGCTAACAAACCGCTGAACAGAAGGCTGTCAGAGAAGATCCACAAACAGCTCCAACCATTTCTGATCGGCCATGGCTGCAAATCTGCATCCGTTGCAAGGAAAGGGGGAGGAGAGCATCCTCACAGAATGCAGGGGGAGCATTTGCTTTCTTTTCCATGAATAAATTTGGTGTGCCAGCGGGACAGAGAAACAGGAATTTACCCCATTTTTAGGGAGGAATCATGGACAAAAGATAGGGAAATCAGTTTCTTCCTCTGGCATGGCTCTGCTTTGCCCGGAGCTCTCACCCAAAGCGCTGCGTTGGCCACCAGGACCCCCCTACCTGCTCCAGGAGCCGGGGCTGCTCAGACCCTGCATCGCCCCGCTCCTTCTCACAGCTCGCACTGAAAGTCACTCCGTGCATCAGTCCCTGTTCTTCCTCAGCGCTTAATTAGAAGCCTCTCCCTTTCTCCTCGCTCTCTAATTAACATGCCGGGAACTCAAAAGAAGAAGGCAGCACAATAATACGGAGAGACGGCTTCCAGCAGGCCCAGGCCTCATTACTGTGGGGCTGGCGAGCCGGGAGCAAGGCGTGCTTTACATATGGAAAAACTGCAAACAAGAAAGGCTGGGCGAGGAGAGAAAAAGACTTGACCTCTGCTCCGGCCCATTGTGGGCCTGTCATCCCCCCTCGGCGGCCAGGCCGGGGCTGGCGGGGCTTTATCATGGTGATGGGGATGGAGCCCGAGCCCTGCATCCCAGCTCCGGGCAGGCAGAGGAGGGTTTAATCTCCTCAACACAGGCTTTGCTTGGACGTTTCTTTTCTTCTGCCGGGCTGGTCCAGGGAGCGGGCCTGCTGTCAGGTCTGGGGTGAGGCCTAGAGGAATGTCTTCATCCAGCCCTCCTGGTGCCTTGGTGGAGTTGGGTGCAGGGAAAGAAGGGAAAGAAAGAAGGGAAAGAAAGAAGGGAAAGAAAGAAGGGAAAGAAGGGAAGGGAAGGGAAGGGAAGGGAAGGGAAGGGAAGGGAAGGGA